CTTTAAGTTATGTTTTTTTAGGTTAAATTTTTTTAAAATAAACTCGTGAACCGCCGCCTTCACCACTCCTTGGTGCGACCTTGAATCTTCCCGGCGAGCACGACGTTTTCCATTCTTTGACGGGGTGAGCGATGCCGCGGTCGGTTCCAGGTGACAACAGAGTTGAAGGGAGCCGAGGCGTATTGTTCTGACGCCGAGGTTGAGCGGAAGAGCTAAGACAACGAGGCTGTTTAACTGCTTCACCTCGATCGCGAAGAGACACGGCCACCGTCGGCGCCGAGGTGGATTGATTTCACAGAGAGGTGACGACGAGGTGGATTGTTGATTCGGGCTCGATTCAAAGTGAAACCGAGGCGACTATAGGGGAAGAGACGAGGTGAAGCTCGGTGGAGTTGATCTGAGTCAAACCGAAGTCGAGTTCGGTGATCTTGGTTCTACCCGCGGCACCGAGGTTAGGCGGGGCCGAGGTGAACTAAATCGGCGAGGTTGAGCAGAGGTTGACCGGTAAAGTGGGTCGGTTTTCTGATTTCATCATCGGGAGGACGTCGATTCGAAACCGAGGCGTAGAGCTTTGTTTAAGCGTAGCCGAGGTTCAATCAAGGAAGGCGACGACGAGGTTGATTGAAATTGGTGAGGTGAAGAGAGTTGTTGTCGAGGCAGGGAAGACCTCGTCTTCATCCACGATGCCGAGGTGAAAGCTTGCGATCTCGGCATCAGTTGACAAAGTACCGAAGCGGCTTGAAACCAAGGTGAATGCGACATAGATTCTTGTGGAAGAGAAGTAGTGACGCCGATGTGAAAAGGTCCTTGTGACGAGATGGTCTCATCTTGCTACCGAGGTAGATTGCAAACGCAACGAAGCAAAGTTCAAACTTGGTTTTTGATTTCGACTTGGTCGATTCAGACATTGAAGAGACTCAGACTGGTTGGAGTGACTCTTATTACAGCCGAGGCGAAGACAAGGCTAGAAACATGTCCGAGAACTCGCCTCCTTTGAGCCCATGGATTCGACTTCCGGAAACAGATCGCTCGAATGTTTCTCCACACTTAGACGATTTTGACGGTTTAGGTGATGATCCTTCTCTTCTTGGAAGAAAGATTGTTAGTTCACCCGACTCCGATGCTGGTAGTGCAACACACCCGGTCTCTCTTGGAGTTTCCGTCGAAGAGGTACATGACGATGTTGGAACCGTTAAGCCA